TGTTCAAAATCCAAAGAAACAGGCAGAAAGTCACAAACCAGAGCAAGCAAACAACAAACAGGCGGGAACAAAACAGACTGAAACACTGTGACGAACTGGCAAACAGGACAGAGACAAGCAGGGTAGATGTACGGTTGGGCTGATGAGGTGATGGGAAGCAGGTGTGCAGTCAGGCAGGTGGAGATGATCAGGTGGGCGGAGACAGGGCGGAGAGCGGGGCAGGGCTGGAACACAAGGAAAAACAAAAGCACATGGACACAATGACAGATGGGGAGAACAAAAACACAACAGCTAGGGGGCCGGAGTACTGACAAGACCAGGTTTCCTGAATGGTCACTCGCCCAGATGATGTCAGTGGAGCTGTGCCTGTCTCCCAGTCAGTGCTTACTTCACTGCAGTGCAGCTTGGGACTTGTAGTGTGAAGAATAGCTGTTGGCTGCTGTTGGCTGCTTGGCTGCCGTTTAGAGAAAGACATGTTAATTTCCCAGCAAGCGAGTCTGTGAATGTGAGTGTTTTGTGATTTTGTGTGTTTGCATGAGTGTGTGTGTTTTCAGAGTCTATATGTGTGTGTGTGTGTGTGTGTGTGTGTGTGTGTGTGTGTGTGTGTGTGTGTGTGTGTGTGTGTGTGTGCGTGTGCGTGTGTGTGTGTGTGTGTGTGTGTGTGTGTGTGTGTGTGTGTGTTTCAGAGTCTGTTTGTACTTGCATAGAAAGGGAAGGGCAGTGTGCCACATAGAAGCAGGCCAACTGGAGGGATATCTCTAGTTGGACAGGCCCTCGTTTTTCCTATGAATACTTAGATGGTTTCCTCACAGTTGAGCTCCATGAGCTGGAGGGTGAGCTCTCTCCCTGTGAGTGCATCAAGCCTGCCCAAACAAGGCGCCATTGAGTATACATACGACGATCATAGTCTTGCCACAATACCAGTCACCACAACCTTCCCTTCACGACAATTCTCCTGCCAAAGTAACTGGACCTTCACAACAGTTTTGCTTCCTGTCATAATGATAGCACCTTCATAACAACAGTTCTGCTTCATTTTATAATAATAGTCCCTTGGCAACAGTCTTGTTCCCTGTCATAGTACCAGCCTCACCATTCACCTCAGCACTACTTTCATAGTAAACAGTCTTACATATTTGCACTTTATACATTACACATTATATTTTATTGCCCCTTCACTCCTCAACACTACAACTGTATGTGTTCACTCTTTCCAGTGGTAGTGAGAGTGTAGCTTTAGCTCTACATTCTTACTGGAAGTCATCCTTGCTCTCGCCTCTCGGCATCTGTTACGACTGTTTTTGCTTTATTTTAATGAAAACGTCTGCTGTCCTCATGCAGGACCTGTAAATTACAGTAATTATTCCTCCGCTCCCAGCCTGTTTACAGCCCCGTGTGATGCTTTGCCAGTTGGCAGATGCTTTGCGTTAATCGCTCTGAATGAGTTTGTTGGGACACGGAGAGTGGGCCTGTTTGATGAATCAGTCGCACAACTTCCTCGTTCCGTTATGTGTAAATGAGGCTACAATTCAACAGATCATAAATTGTTGCTCAAGTGCGGAGTAAAAGATGATACTCGAAATAAACCGTGACTGTTTTTACAAGTTATTTTGAAACATTGCCTGTATTACTCATGACATACATTAAATGTATGAAAATGGCAATGATTAGTACAGTTTGTGATGTACGTATTTTTCCGTACAGTATGTTGAACATGTATTTGTAACATTAAGGATGTCATACTTCATCATAAATTCTTTCAGACTATCCTGCCTGTCTTATACACTTGTGGTTCTGCTCTTCTCCCGGTTCCAGAACTTATACCAGAACCGGTTTCTTGGGCTGGCAGCGATGGCCTCTCCCGCCCGGAACCCGCAGACCCGCCGGCGCTGCAAGGACGCCATGCGCCACAGCTACAACCCGGAGCAGTTTCAGAACCTGGAGCTGCAGAACGGCGGCCTGGAGCCGGCGCTGGCGCGCTCCACCAGTGACACCGACCTGGTGACCTCACACTGCCGCTCCACGCTGGCGGTCAGCAGCTCCCTCTACACCATCGGCCAGCCCGAGGACATCCTGCTCTCCTGGGACATCAAGGAGGACGTGGACGCCGGGGACTGGATTGGGATGTACCTCGTGGGTGAGTGTCAGGAGGGTCGGGGTTGGGGGTCTGGGTACTCCTGCTGCATGCTCTTTATATGCTTGTGGGATGTACCAATTTGGAGCCCGGGGGGGTTACACCTATGGAATGTACCAAGTTAGTGTGTGTTATGGAAAAGACAAGTAATTTTCAACCCAAGTCTGTGTGGATGTAGTCACAGTGGCATTATGCAGACCCCCCCAACTTTCACGTGGGTTCAGCGTGATAGCAGAGCTTTCTTTTCTTAGCTTTGAGTTGCATATTTAATTATGCAGTAGGTGATTTTTTGCAGTTCTTAAGTGAACCTCTGACTCATCTGCTTCTGTCTGCTTCCACTGTTCCCTCTGTGGAAATTCCCAGAGCTTATTTTGGAAGTGGTCATCGTTCTTCAGTTAGCTTTCATCATACACCACACCACCTGTTATTGAATAAAGTGTGCTTCTAAATGGCATGGCACTTGTATGGTTGCTGAATGAAGTGTGTGCTTAAATTGCATTGTATTTGTATGTTTGCTGAATAAAGTGTGTGAGTAGATGGCATGGTGCTTGTACTACAGTTGTCCCTTTATCTGATTTTCATTTTTCAACTGTTCTATCTATGAGGACAACATTCATGTCACTTTTTCTTTAAATTGGGCAAAAAAACATGCAAATGATTATTGCTTGTGCTGTGGCTTCTCTGATCTGAAATATGCCATATGTGTATTGTGTATTTCCTGGAAATGGCCCTTTCATTTCTGCAGTGTGGTGAAGTGATTTAGGCCTTTGACTCGACACCATAAGGTTGCTTTTTTGAATCAGAAGTGGGGAACTCCATGAGCCTGAAACGTCCTAAGCCTGAGCTGGAGAGATGCTGTGCAAACTGCAGTGGATGACAGCGTCTGCTATAAATAATAAGCAAATAAATAATACCTGAAGGAAGTGCATGTGGGAGGAGTGTTATGTGACGTCTTCCTCCCTCTGTCGCTCTTTCCCTCTTGCAGATGAAGTTCTTTCCGAGAACTTTCTGGACTACAAGAACCGCGGGGTCAACGGTTCCCACAAGGGCCAGATCGTGTGGAAGATTGAGGCCAGCTCGTACTTTGTGGAGCGTGAGTGCACCTCCTAAATTATTCACAGGACATATCGCGTACATACAGCCAGGCTTTCAGAGATTCGCAGTCATGTGGCCGCAGCTGAAGCAGATCAGGTTAAATAGATTTCATTTTTCCTGGCAGCCCGTACAGAAACGTAACATACCAGTATGTTGAAATAGACTGATGAAAAATGGTACATATTTCATGTAGCAAGGACTGGGGAGTTACTGTTCAGTGGCCATGCCTGCTTTACTAGCCCTTTCACCCTCTAGTGGTAGAACAAGGTAGTTCCCTCACTGTGTAAGGAGCTGGCTAATCATTTCATGAGTCAGGCTATGGTCAGACTGCAGCTGAAAGTGACCCAGTTCCAGTTATTTTCCCTTATATGTGACCCAGTTCAGCTGTTTTTAGAACAGTGTGGACATCAGAAAAAAACACTTGAAGTCACATCTTTTCAGTTCCAATTTCCACAACAATATGTGGAAATAAATTGGATATGTAGCTGCACGACTTGTGCGCAACCTGTGTGTGGACTCTCAAATCAGAATCAAGTGTGCTTAAAGTGGCCCAAGTGATATTTACATCGCTCTGCATATGACAGGTTACCCTTGTCATTATAATTGTGTGTGACTAGACAGACTTGACATCTTTTATTCTTGTTTATATCTGGATGCAGGGCATTTCATGACGGAGGTCCATTCACGGTGATATCGGATATGGGCCACTTTAAAAAATGAATATGGCTCCCGAGTGGCTCAGTCGGTAAAAGCACTCGTTCCAAGTGTAGACTGAACGCTACAGCCCGGGTTCGATCCCGGCCGTGTCACTAACCGACAGTGACCGGGAGCTCACAGGCAGAGCACATTGGCTTCGTTCCACCGGGGATAGGGGTGGGTACGTCAGCAGGGGCTTCGGTCCCATTAGCAACAGTGACCCCTGCTGGTCGATCGGGCGCCTGTGGTCCGCGTGCCAAAAGCTGCATATGAAATGTCTTCCTCCGACTCATCTCTGTGCTAGCTTGGCTTGTGGACCGCAGAGCGAAAAGAAGCAGCGGCTGACATCACGTGTCTTGGAGGAGGGCACGTGCTTGTCCACGCTCTCCCGGATTGACAGTGGGGGTTGCACAATGGGACCGAACATCGATGACTAATTGGGCATTCCAAATTCGGGAAATTGGCCATTCCAAATTGGGGAGAAAATGGTAAAATGACAAAAAAAAAAAAAATGAATATGAACAGTCAGACAGATGCATAGGTAAAGTCACGGGTATATGTAAATATTTACTTGATCCCATTGAGGCCCATTTATGCAACAGCTGACACAGCACGGCCCATTTCTGTAGGATTTTCAGCATGAAAGAAGGGAGGTGTTCAGGTGTTCTGCAGGAGGCTGCCGGATGCAAAGAGGATCTGCGAAGGGGGAGAATGGGCGCTCCATTAGTCATGTTAAGGGATCCTCCGCTGCATTGGGCTATTCTGGGAGGCGGAAAACTAGAGCGCCCAAAACTGTGCCAGTTCCTCCTCCTCAGATCTGTTATGACTGTCTTTGTGTTGCGTCATTTTTTATTTTTAATGCTTTTTGCACCTTTGTGCAGCCCTGTTGGAAGCGGCAGTTGCCTGCTGGACTCGTTTGCATCATGGCAACCTCTGCACTTGTGTAGGAGTGATGAGGCGATGAATGCAGTCCTGCGATACACCCCCATGCAGTCAGTGGCTATTTTTCGTTCTAGAATTCACACAGCTCACTACAGTAGAGTGGTTGCTCATTGGAGGACAGGTGCTACAGGGCAGCAGAATGGTGCAGTGGTAATGAGCAGGGCTTGTATCCATGAGGTGGCTGGATCGATTCCCTTCTGGGGCACTGCTGTTGTACCCTTGGGCAAGGTACTTAGCCTAAACATAGCCTCAGTAAATATGCAGCTGTATAAATGGATAATATGTAAAAATGTAACCTATTGTGACGGGACGGTGAGCGGCAAAGAGGTGACGACAACAGAGATTGGGGTGAAGCACAGTGTGAGGGACCCCAGAGATGGGTGAAACATGAGTGAGCGGGGCACCGTGGGATGGGAGAAGTACTGGGACAATGCGTGAGGGACGCCATGGTGCGTGAAGCGCATGGGCGCGCTTCCCGAAGGGGAGGGCAGTGTGACGGAGTGCCGTCACTGCGGTTGAGCATGCACTCTGACTGCTGTACCAACGAGCCTGGCTCTTTGGTGTCGCGGTCAAAGTCGTATGTTTGGTACCCCGTAGACCCAGGTGCGAGGCCGGGTGGGGTGACTGCTCTCGCCCTTCGCTACACCTATGTAAGTTGCTCTGGATAAGAGCATCTGCTAAATGACAAAATGTACCCCACTGACCTCATCCCGGCAACCTGCAGGCATCTGACAGATAACAGGGTGGGCACAACCCCTGCTAATATCCTCTTGTCCCTTCTCTCCATGTAAAGTATTTCACTCCATAAATCACTTGGCTCTGTCCCAGTTCTTTCACTCTGTGGGGGAATGTGGTACTCTGACAGGTATGGCAGGATGCATCGGCACTTCATTGTTATGGAATATTTTTCCGTCAGGGGAACATGAGGAAGCAGTCCAGCAGGCTACACTGATTATGTACAGTATGGTGGATTTCTCCCACCATGTAGGTGAATGTCATGTGGTTCTTCTTGCAAGGTGTTGACTCCGGTTTATTGTCATGGAGGGCTTTGTAGAGCACAGAAACACTGTTACAGTGGAAGTGCAGATTGCTGACAGTAGGTCATGTGTACAAAAAAGCGATACCTTGCCCTTAACCTGCCCTTCCTGCTCTGTGTCTCCCTCCTCTACTGTTATGCTCTCAAACAATACATACGATACATTTCCCTCTCTTTCTCTCTCCCTGTCTCTCATTCCTCCCCACAGCGGAAACCAAGGTCTGCTTCAAGTACTACCATGGTGTGAGCGGAGCCCTGAGGGCCACCACCCCCAGTGTGACAGTGAGGAACCCCTCAGCTCCTGTAAGTCCTGTGTGTGTGTGTGTGTGTGTGTGTGTGGGTGTGTGTATCTGTGCGCACGCGCATATGCATGCATGTGTACAAGTGTGTGCATGTAGGTACGCCGGTCTCCTTGGCGATTTGTGCTTCTTCTGCTGCTTGTAATTTGCTGGTGAACAGCACAGTAAGGCTTCAGAGAGACAGCTGGGTAAAAAAGGGACTGGCTACAATATAGTCTCCCACTCTAGTAGTTTGTCAATTGCTACAGCCAGGCTTGAGTACTTTAGTATTATAAGCACAGATCTCTACTTCCTCATCTATATGAATGGTTCCTCAACGATATGAAATCTGTTAGTTGCTGATTCCATAAATCTGTAAAGTAACAGCTATTATATAAAGCTATATAGTGAATGACAAATGAATTATTTTTTGTTTGCATATGCATATATACATGAGAGGAGAGAGACAGAGAGAGAGCACTAGAAGCAGAGGTATTGATATACATAGATGCTGTCTATATTGATAGATGATAGCAGGAGAGAGAGAGAGGAGAGAAAAAAAGGATACATAGATGTAAAGGTCAGGAAAAAGGGAATGATTTTACTGAAAGTGTATTAAGACTTTCCCTCATCTGTCTGTCTCCTTGACACCACCTGAGACTGGAGCAGATTACTATTGATTTATAAATACCTGTGCTAAGGGGATGTTTCAGGTTGCTGTTTGCTGCTTGTAAGGGCATAAGACCTGCTTTTCTTAAGCCTGAGTGAAGGCAGAGTGGTCAGGTATAGTGGGAGAGGCACACAAGAGTCATGCACATTGGAGAAGTAGTGCTGCATTAGTGGATAGTAGACAAAGAATAGACAAATCATAAATTATAATCCTGGGATCTAATCTGTGACTCTGTAAATGACTTGCTCCTGTCAATGACCCATATGCTATTGATTCCTGTTTAGCCAGATGAAAACAGGACAATGCTTCAGGAGTTAACTTTAAAAATCATATGTATGTGTGTTTGAAAGGTTGGAAATGTTTACATCAAACAAAAATTTCATTATGAATGATCTTGTTCTCTCTTATCATCTTGATTTTATGATTTTAGTAGAAACCTGGGTAATGGGAACATAAACGTTGATTTCATCTGTCCCTTAGTACGCCCACATTTAAGAATCAACTGTATATAAGAATGGACAGATGTGATTCCTAGAAGTGGATTGGATTGTTTGTGAAATCGTATATAATTCAATCCATCCTGTTTTTTTTAGTTCTGAAATGAAACCCATCTTTATGATATAAGCAAATGCAGGCTTCGTTCCCTAGATGTAATCTGAAAAGAACATCAGCAATTCACTTTGAGTTTATGTGAAGGTAAACATATACTCTTGTCTTCCACGCTGACAGTTCATGCACCTCCTCTTGCTGCAGATGCCAAGAGAGGTGACCTTGAGTGACCTATGACTTCATAACAGAATAAGGAAGTGCAATACCTGAGGCACGCTCATTATAAATGCCTGTCCGAGCTGACCTGAAGTCAGTCTGGCGTAAGGTCAGAGAACACAGCTGGCTAAAAACAATCTGCCGCTGCTATTCTGGGGCGGCGGGGGAGCGTGGATTGCTGACTCGGGCTAATCTGATCCGGACGGCGCCGTGACTTTCCTTGAGAGTCAGTTTAAAAACAAATGCTGCATGTATCAGTTGAAAAAAAAGAAATGCACCATGTGCTGAAGATCAGGAGAGGTAGACCCCCCAGCTATGCCTCTTCGCCTGAGGGCGGATGTGTTTAAAGCTCATTGTGAGCTCTGCTGTTGGGTGCTGTCAGCAGTCACATAACAGCATCCTCAGATCAGCCGCAGAGAGAGGTGTTTACCTGGATCCTGGCTGAGATGATAGCGGCTTTATCGCTGCTCGCTGATCCCAGGTCAGCAGTTTGGAGAGCAAATGTCCATCTTGTGCAGTAAATGACTGATGAAACAGGCTTCTGATTATGTTGATGGTTATAATTCCTGCAGAGCAGCTGAAGTGTACGGTAGTGATGGGAAGCTGTGTGTGGGAGGATGAGTTTTACTGCCAGGGCCATCTGCCTCTAAGGAGTGTCTGTGTTTTCCAGATGGTATGGAAATGAGTGGTCTTCTACAGCCCCCACCACATACACTACAAAAGGAATAAATATGTACACTTTTTGTGGAATGAAGGATTTTTCAGCCGGTCCCTATAATACGTTGTTGAGAGAGCTGTATTACTAAGCTGTCTAACTGTAAAAGTTTGTTGTCCGTGACATCTAGGATTTAGTGCATGTGTGTACACACATACGGTGCTGCAGTGCCGGTGCATATGAAAGCAAAACGAATGTGAGAAAGATGGTGCGAGAGTGAGAGAAGGAGTGAGAGATGGTGTGATGGAGAAGCAGCAGGAGACAGAGAGAGCAGCAGCAAGGTATCTGTGGCATGCGTGGAAAAGAGGCTCTTCAGTCTGCTGTTTCTGAGGTTGACACCACTAACACCCAGACACAAACAAACAGCCTCCAGGCATCCCAATGGCAGTTAAAATAGTGCATGTAGTTCCCTTGAGTATGCAGCTTAACATTATTTTTAACAATATTTTTATTTTATTCTTTAATTTTTTTGCATCATTTTTCCTGTTTTTCAGTCATATTATTGAATGTTTCCTGTGCATCAGACCTAACTGTAGACATGCATATAGTATCTTCCATGGTGAAGCTGTCTATATTGTTTATTGCACCTACAGTGCAATACCTTGCAATTGCTTTATTATTAAAATGCCAAACCGCTTATGGTATGGTGAGCCTAACCATCTTCTTCCCTCCCTCTTCCCTCTCTCCCTCTCTACCTCTCTGCCACCCTCCTCCTCTCTCCCTTTTTCACTCTCTCTGTCTCTCTTGCTCTCTCCATCTCGCTCCCTTCCTTCCCCCCGCCTCTCTCTATCTCTCTCCCTCTGTACGCAGGTCTTTAAGCCTGTTGTCAGTGAGGAAGCCCTACAGACCCAGGGTAGCCGGAGACTCATCAGCTTCTCTCTGTCAGGTGGGTGAACCACACCCAAAATCAGTTTCTGTTTTTTTTTTACCAGGCTCCTGACTAGCTTAGTGGTTAAGGCTGCTTCAATCAAAGCCGTGTCATTACAGCAATGACTGGGAGCCCACAGTGGCAGAATGAATGGGCCTCTGGGGATATAGGGTGGGTATGTTGGCAGGGGTTTCTTTGTCTCACCGTGGATCTTGTCAGCTGCCTGCAGGTTACTTGGATGACATCACCGAAGCCATGCCCATTCTCCAGTCGGTGCTTATATCACTGTAGTGTGCCAGGTGACTTGCAGTGTGAAAGTAGTTGCTGCTGGTGTGTAGGTTTATCAGAGGGTTGAATTCGCTACGCCCAGCACCACTGTCTGAGGGTTCTGGATGACACAACGGGATGAGTCTGGCATGCAAGTGGCAAATTTAGGATGAAAAAGACAGGAAAATGCATAAAGAAAAGGGGTTCATAAAACAAAAAAGTCTGAGGACTTGACAGATTCATATTATTTTCTTTCATGGTTCCATTTTACCAGCACCATCATGGGTACAGCACCAGTCCCAGCATGCACTGGGGTAATCACTGCTTACTCTGAGTTCCCTGCTCTCTAACGCTGCTCCGCTGTGCTCCTCTGTTCCCGGGCAGATTTCCAGGCTGTGGGCCTGAAGAAGGGCATGTTCTTTAACCCCGACCCGTACCTGAAGATCGCCATCCACCCCGGCAAGCACAGCATCTTCCCCTCCCTGCCGCACCACGGCCAGGAGAAGAGGTCCAGCATCGTCTGCAACACCGTCAACCCGGTGTGGCAGAGAGAGGTGAGGGAGAGAGTGCGCCCCCTGCTGGTACTGCAGAACCACATGTCTTT